ACAGCAAAGAAGAGACAGAAGTCTGAATGACCTTTGTGATAGCTTTCCCTAGGGATAGCCTTAAGACTTCATGTTCAAAGATAAATCTTCACCTAAGTTAAAAACTTAAGGAACCCATTTAAATCTTTTCAAGAGCTTATTACAACTTTATGAGTTCTTAGATTTGGTAGTAAGAAAAAATTCTTATTTTCTTTCACTAGTAATGAAAATTTATAATAAGAACAGCAAAAAATACTTGGAGATTAAAGAAATTCTACTTACTAATGGGTTAAGCCCCTAGCAAGACGATTTATACAAAAACCATCTACCCCACTTTTATTAGTATCATTAAAATAGTGGTGATTATGCAGCAGAAAGAACACTCTTGCCTTCCATTCCCATGATTAATAATTAAGAAAAGCCAAACTCCAACTGAATTTGGATCTTTCCCAATGAGCTGGTGTCATTTAGTAGTGATGTAGGGCTGTTTTGTAGCAATGGGCACCTCTAGTGTTACTCAATGAAAAGTACCAGTCCTATAAACAATGGGGTCCACTTTTGTCCTTTCTGTCAGTTCTGTTGATACTCACAAAAGATTTAAGGACCTGTGATGTTTAGGACAATTTGATTCACTAGAGGGCAGGTTTTATATTAAGTATACCAATATTCTGCTCAGTAAGTTTCACGTCTAGGCATTTTCTTTATGTCCTCACAGAAATATCAAAACAATATCACGGCACCACAGTAACACCTTTTAGTACTGAAGCTATTTACTGGATGTTCTGGTGGAACATTAAGGGAAAAGCAAAGCAGGGGGAAGATTAAGAGTTCTTAATTCCTTCCCTCTATCCATACTTATTGAAAGGTTTTAACTCATGACTGCTCCAGGGAGAATCACAGCAAGTAAAGGAATAACACTGTCTGGATAAAAGTATTTGCCTGTTTGCATGACCTGTTTCATATTCATTTAAAAGTCTGATACCAACCAGATGCTCCACAATGATGATAAATTTAATTTATTTCCAATTTCTCAAACTCTTCTACAGATTCAGGCAGCACAGTCACAGCCATTAGCTCACTGAGCCTGGATGAATCATTGAAGGAATGGAATTGATCAGGCAGATAGATTGCAGTACATGGTTAAGAGTCTCCTAAGAAGGGAGATGGCAGAAATCCAACATCAAATAGATGATGAAATGGCCATTTCCATTAAGGGAACATCACATCACAGATATTAATTAGGAGGCACTATAATAGAGTTAAGTGGATATGGGGGAAAATGCTGAGTTAAAGTCACCCCGGGTGTCCTTAGCCTGAGGTAATTACAGATGTGAAGGTGAGTCATGGATCTGCGATTTTCCATCTATTTTACAATGGCTGCAGGTAAGTTAGAGACCAGATATAACTCCAGAGTGATGAGGCTTTTTTAGAGTGGGGAGAAGCTATCCTTAAAAAAGAAAAAAAATCTAAAGTTTTACTATTACCAGGGAAATTACATCCTTTATTTACAGAAACATTAATGGGAAATGACAAAAGACTACTTCTCTAATACAACAGAAGTGAAGCAAATGAAACAAATTAGCTTTGAGTTTAAATGCCCTGCATTCTAATAAATCTTTTATAAATTCATCTTTAAAAATTGATGGAATATTTTGTTCTGAGTCTTCAGTTCAAATCTAGCTTAACAGCTAAAAATTAAAAATCTTTTAAGAGTATTATTCGATACACTCAAATGCTGGAGACAATCACATTCCAGACCTTCAGCCCAACAATGAATTTATGACAGTTTAATTTTTTTGTTCTGTAGTTCCTTACACTTTTTGTCCCCTAATAACTTCTAACTGCATCCTTCTTATCTGCATACATAATACACAACAAATGCAGACAGACGACCAGTATGTGAGTTGAGACAATGCTGAGAATAAAAGGGTTTTATCTTCCTCCTTTAGTACATTTTGGATCAACCTCAGAATACTGGATGATATGCTTCAGGTTATTAACTTCAGGTTAATAACCTGCATTTCTATCAAAAAAGAAATTCCTTTGCTAAAGTTCCATTCTAAACTTCCCACAAACTCAATCAACAATTTTTATTTTTTGCCTTACCTCACCAAAACAGCAGAATCACAAGAATATTATAAAAAATAATATAGCATTATCTAAAAGATGTGGAATAACTTGTTGAAAGCCCTTTCACCTACAAGTACTTCTGAAAGATCAGGACACATCAGCAAAAATGATGGCATAAAAACCTCACAGAATTCCTTATCCATAAAAATAATAACAACACTGGTAAAACTTGTGAGAAATCTTTTTCTGAACTGTGGGAATTAACCAAAGGCTTGCAGCAGTCTGAGAAGTATTTATTAAAGAAAAATTGACTGAATATTGGTAAACACAGTAAGTTATGTATATCTTGATAGCAAGCGTCACTCTGATCTTGAAGCTCCATGCAAGCAGGAAGAAGTGTCAACTGCCTGGTGGAGTGTTGAAGGTGAGCCCCAACATAAACACAGAGCCCTTCGGCAAAGAATGAGTGACTTATAAGTTCCAGGCATTTAAAGAAATCTCTGTCTAATCATTAGCTAACCACTAATCTAACCATCCAGAGACTTTAGTGACTACACGTGAAATATAGATTTCACAGTATTAGGAAAGTCACTAAAGAAATAGCCACAAAAACAAACTCTGAGGAAAAGAGAAAATCTCATTCCAAGAGTTGCCACTTTTAAAACATCCAGTTTTCAACAAAAAATTGAGACATACAAAGAAACAAGAAAATTGGGTCCATATTCAGGGAACAAAAGTATTCATGAGTAACTGTCCCTGAGAAGCTCAGATGCTGGACTTACTAAACAGAAACTTTAAGTCAAATGTTTTAAATATGCTATAAAAAAAAAAACCTAGAGAATTATGTCTAAATAACTAAATGAAAATATGAGAATGATGCCTCACAAATAGAAGATCTCAATAGAGATAAGAATCAAATAGAAATTCTATAGTTGAAGAGTATAACACCTGGAATAAACATTTCACTGAAAGGATTAAAAACAGATTAGAGATGGCAGAAGAAGGAGGCAGTGAACTCAAAGATAAGTCAATTAAAATTGTCCAGTTTCAGAAACAAAAAGAATGAAGAAAAATGAACAGGGTTCAGGGACCAATGTGACACCACCAAATGTACCAACTACACTCCAACTTTGGCCACCTGATGTGAAGAGAAGACTTATTGGAAAAGACCCTGACACTGGGAAAGACTGAAGGCAGGAGACAGGGATGACAGAGGATGAGATGGTTGGGTGGCATCACCAACTTGATGGACATGAGTTTGAGCAAGCTCCGGGAGTTGGTGATGGACAGGAAAGCCTGGCATGCTGCAGTCCATGGGGTCGCAGAGTCGGACACGACTGAGCGACTGAACTGAACTGAACCAACACATGCATAATAGGAGTCCTAGAAAGAGAGAGGAGAGAAAGGGACACAAAAAATACTTAAAGATATAATGGCCAAAAATGTACCAAATTTATATAAACATTCAAGACATTAAATGAATCCAAATAGGATAAAGTCAAAGAGATATACACATCATAGAATAGTTGAAAGACAAAGAGGAAATCCTGAAAGCAGAACATAAGGGACAAAATTTAGATACATCCCTGTAGGTTGCCTACAAATGTATCTGAGGTAAACAACGTGGCCCCAGAGTCTTAGTCCTGTCTAAGCTCTCTGTAGATGGACTAGCTGAGTTATACATTTGATAGAACTAACAGGAGATGGTTTTCATCCAGCTGCAATCTTTGAGAATGACAATCAACCAAATTCCTCTATACTTAGTCTGTTAGTCTCCTGCACTAATCTCAAAGTGGGAATAGATTGAAAGAGGAAATGAATCTTCTTTTGCAGAAAGAAAAAAAGCATCAGCAACTGATGGCTGGTTATGGCTTTTATATGGGAATGTTCTTTTAGGTGGGTTTCCTAGGTGGTACAGTGGTAAAGAATCTGCCTGCCAATGCAAGAGACACAAGAGACGTGGGTTCAGTCCCTGGGTCAGGAAGATCCCCTGGAGAAGGAAATGTCAACCCACTCCAGTATTCTTGCCAGGAAAATTCCATGGACAGAGGAGCCTGGCGGGCCACAGTCCATGGGGTTGCAAACAGTTGGATGCAACACAGTGCGTTCTTTTAGGTACCTGAATAAAAAAGGCTTAACTTCCCTACAGTGGCTGATTAAGAGTTTCTTTAGAGTTATGAGTTAACCACCATTTTTTTTTTGATAGCTTATCAAAAGAAAATACTCTGACATAGTGATATTACAATCTAAAGAAACTTAAGGAAAATACTATAAATCCTGAGAGTAGGCCTGTAAGTATAAATTTGACTATGTTTCCATCTTTTCTCCTCCCATGTCAACGTAAATCAAAGAGGCACTATGATAATCATATTTTTCTCTTAAGATTAGAAATCAGAATAAATATAAGGTTACTGATTTATTTTCCTTCTATAAAGCTCACTGTTGTATTGACCCTCTTCAAACACTGCAACTGTTTTTTATACTTAGTATGTTCATACTGAAGTACAACAAATCACCCTGGAAATATAATAAAAGGATAGTAATAGGATTCATGCTCAAAGACAAATCACTTTTTTTTAAGGGTACTGTATCATAAAATTTTCAAACTAGAGAGTAACTGAACTGTTTTTGCCCTTGTTCCTCAGCTAAAGAAGCCAAGAAAGAAAATGTGAAGATAAAATATCTTACTCGATATTATGAAAATGAAACTAACAATTTAAAAAAACCAAATATAAATTAATGAAATAAAATATTAAGACTAACTCCTTTGTTGTTCACCAAAAACTATCACAACATTGTTAATTGGCTATACCCCAGTACAAAGTTTTTTTTTTTTTAATATTGGGACTAATTAGCCCATGGAAGAGAAAAGCTATAACTGAGTGGCCTCTAGTCTTCATGATCGTCATAGATGGAGAACTATTCCATTGGCCAGATGCCTCAGGACTAACCTGTGATGATAAGACATTCATTGTGATCCAGCACCTCAGTGAAGAGCCGTGAAACAATCAACTCAGGGTTGATTAAAAAGCGGATTTCTTCTTGCACAAGTCCTGCACTGGTTACACCACCTCCAACAAAACGGTTTGCAAAATCCACCTATTTGGGAAAATGTGACATGTTAAATGCTGATTTAAAATACCTACATTTATGATTAAGAAGTACTCCCTCTAAGCTCTGACCTTCCTTTCCTTCCCCATATAAATCAATCCCCAAATTATCAATCTTCCCAGGGATACTGGATTGTGGTTCACTGCACTCTTTCCACTTCACTGCAGTTAGCATTTCTGAATATTTCTTTGGATTCCAAAACCTTAGAATGAACTTAGAATACACAGCTTTTAGGCAAAAGCCTCAATGTAATCATATGGGCTCTTGTTTAGAAACCTTACTTGTGCTCTGAGGGCTACAAATCAAGGGAGGTTTTATCTGGAAAGGTTTTAAGGTCATTTCTCCACCATTCACTACTCAATTTCCGTTTATGTACTTCATATGACATTAATATAATTACACAAATATATCTCACCTTATTGTGCTTTGCTTTATAGCACTTCACAGATATTGCAATTTTTTTTTTTAAACACACTGAATGTTTATATCAACGCTGCACCAAGCAAGGCTCTTGGTGCCATTTATCTAATAGCATTTGCTCACTTTGTGTCATATTTTGGTAATCCCTGAAACATTTCAAACCCTCAACCAGCAAAAAGATTATGACTTGCTGAAGACTCAGGTGATGGCTGGAATTTTTTTTAGCAAGAAAGTACTTTTTAATTAAGGCACGTACATTTCCTTAGACATCAATGCTATTGGACACTTAAAAGACCACAGTATAGTGTAAACATAACTTTTATAAACAGTGGGAAACAAAAAATTCATGTGACTTGCTTTATTGTGATAGTCTGGAACTGAACCCATGATATCTTCAAGGTACATAGCCTATACCTGTTTTATATAACATGGCAATCAAACACTTGTCTTAAGGATTTGAAAAGTTTAGGATGTAACCTTTTCTGAGTAATTTCTTTTTTGTTTTTTTTTTAATTAATTTATTTTTAAATTGAAGATAGCTGCTTTACAGAATTATATTGGTTTCTGCCAAACCTCAACATGAATCAGCCATAGGTATACATACGTCCCCTCCCTCTTGAATTGCCCTCTCACCTCCCTCCCCATCCCATCCCTCTAGGCTACAGAGCCCTGGTTTGAATTTCCTGAGTCACACAGCAAATTCCCTTTGGCTATCTATTTTACGTATGGTAATGTAAGTTTCCATGTTACTTTCTCCATACATCCCACCCTCTCCTTTCCGCCCGCCCTCCACCTGTGTCCATAACTGTTCGCTATGGCTGCGTCTCCACTGGTGCCCTGCAAATAATTTCATCAGGACCATCTTTCTAAATGGCATATATATGTGTTAGTGTATGATATTTGTTTTTCTTTTTCTGACTTACTTCACCCTGTATAATAGGCTCTGTATAATAGGATGAACCTATTATACTCTATTATACAGAGTATAATAACTTTTTAAGGGATAAAGATTTCTTCCTTCTAAATTTAATCACAAGCCCCAAACTGCATAAATATCACAAACTTTTTGTTTTAATACACCTAAGGGGGAAAAAAATGAAGATAAAAAAAAATCTAGTTTAACAAGAAATTAATACTTGAAATTTAGTTTAAAATTACATGTAAGTTTTCTATGGAGCACTATGATGGGATCCCCAAGTTCCTACTAATAAAGGTGGGTGGGTTACACAATCCTCAAGAGAAAGTGAACTCTATTAGATAGTGAAGTACAGGGAAGCCTGGCTTGCTGCAGTCCATGGGGTTGCAAAGAGTTGGATATGACTTAGCAACTGAACAACAATAAGAGAAGGCAAACTCAGCTTGCCAGGATTATTTGTCTTAAACTTACTATGTCCTCAACAGTATGCCAAGCTCTATGAGGCAACACATAAGAAACAGTTTCTAACCCTGTCTTATTCTATTTGAGGAGTACTGTATGCAGGTCAAGAAGCAACAGTTAAGAGCTGGACATGGAACAACAGACTGGTTCCAAATCAGGAAAGGAGTATGTCAAGGCTGTATATAGTCACCCTGCTTATTTAACTTATATGCAGAGTACATCATGAGAAATGCTGGACTGGATGAAGCACGAGCAGGAATCAAGATTGCTGGGAGAAATATCAATAACCTCAGATACGCAGATGACACCACCCTTATGGCAGAAAGCAAAGAAGAACCAAACAGCATCTTGATGAAAGTGAAAGAGGAGAGTGAAACAGTTGACTTAAAACTCACCAATCAGAAAACTAAGATCATGGCATCTGGTCCCATCACTTCATGGCAAATAGATGGGGAAACAATGGAAACAGACACAGACTTTATTTTTTTGGGCTCCAAAGTCACTGCAGATGGTGACTGCAGCCATGAAATTAAAAGACACTTGCTCCCTGGAAGAAAAGCTATGACAAACCCAGACAGCATATTAAAAAGCAGAGACATTACTTTACTGACAAAGGTCCGCCTAGTCAAAGCTATGGTTTTTCCAGTAGTCATGTATGGATGTGAGAGTTGGGACTATAAAGAAAGCTGAGTGCTGAAGAACTGATGCTTCTGAACTGTGGTGTTGGAGAAGACTCTTGAGAGTCCCTTGGACTGCAAGGAGATCCAGCCAGTCCATCCTAAAGGAGATCAGTCCTGGGTGTTCATTGGAAGGACTGATACTGAAGCTGAAAGTCCAATACTTCGGCCACCTGATGCAAAGAGCTGACTCATTGGAAAAGACCCTGATGCTGGGAAAGATTGAAGGTGGGAGAAGGGGCTTGGCAGAGGATGAGATGGTTGGATGGCATCATCGACGCAATGGACATGAGTTTGAGTAAACTCTGGGAGTTGGTGTTGGACAGGGAAGACTGGCATGCTGCAGTCCATGGGGTCGCAAAGAGTCGGACACAACTGAGCTACTAAACTGAATTGAGATTACACATACACACCGAACTTGTGTACATACCTAGTCATATACAATTAAAAACCCAGAATTTAGTAAGTAATGTAACAGAGACTTCTACACTGTATAGGAAGAACTCACTCCTGGGTCTCTTTTTTATTCTCACCACACTCATGATACTTCTGACACCAGATGCATGGATTTTCCACAATTCTGCAACAACCAGCTGGATGTTCTACAATCCAATTCAGTTCTGACACTCTCTACCAGGAATCAGTGAATGATCGCACAGGCTAAGGATTCAGTCCTACAAGACTGCCCTAGTTCAGATGCCAATTTCAAGCCCCAGACTGACACCTGTACTTCTAGTTGACCAGCTATAAATTAGAGTTTCCATTATTTGCTTCCAAGGTTTGATGACTTGCTAGAATAGCTCACAGAATTCAGGGTAACACTTTCACTTACTGATTTATTGAAAAGGATATAGCAAAGGATACAGATGAACAAGGCTTCCATGGTAGCTCAGATGGTAAAGAATCCACCTGCAATGTGGGAGACCAGAGTTTGATCCCTGGGTGGGGAAGATCCCCTGGAGGAGGGCATAGCAACCCACTCCAGTATTCTTGCCTGGAGAATCCCCATGGACAGAGGACTCTGGCGGGCTACAGTCCATGGGGTCGCAAAGAGTCAGACACAACTGAGCGACTAAGCACACACACACACAGAGGAACAGCCGGATGTAGATACCAGGGCAAGGTACATGGGAAGGGGCATAGAGATCCCACACCCTTTCCAGGCAAGTCACCTCCCAGTACTTCCACACATTCACCAACCCCAAAGCTCTCCAAATCCTGTACTTCGGAAATTTTTATGGAAGCTTCAACACATTCGCATGACTGATCATTAACTGAGTCTCCAGTTCCTCTCGCTTTCCCAGAGGATGGGAGGTGGGGCAGAAAGTCCCAAACTTATAATCATGGCTTAGTCTTCCTGGTGCCCAGTCCCCATGCTGCAGGCACCCAGGAGCCCGCCAAGAGGTGTGTTATTAGAACAAAAGACATACTGGGAAATTTCAAGGGATTCAGGCACTCTTAGTTAGGAACTGGGGTCAGAGACCAAATATTAGAACAAAAGGTATTCCCAGTACTCTCACCACTCAGGAGATTACTGGGTTTTAGGCTGAAGGAATTGCTGCACAAGGACATGGGAAAAACCACATGCAAAGAGCTGCATGAAGAGAGTGATAAGCAGATTCCTCATGCCTATCTGCAGAGTATAGTATGTGGAGAGTCAAAGTCGGTAATGAGCTGGTCTGGGGGCCAAGAAATTTATACTTAATTCTGAAGATTCTGGGAAAGATTCTAAGAAAAGTAACAACTGTATCTGTGTTTTAGGAAGATAATTTAGACTAGAGTTTAAGGAATGAACTGGAAAAGTAAAAGCAGAAAGACTGGTTAGGTAAATACTGAATAGTTTAAACAAGCACTCTTAGGGCCTCGAACAGGTCAGTTGGGGGTGGGGGTGGGGGGAATGAGACCCAGCAAAGACATAAAAAGGACAGCTCTTGAAAACTGAGAGATTGGCTAAGTATCATGGTACTCAGAATAGAAATGAGAAACAAAGAAGGTCTGAGATCAGCTAAACTTAATTGTTACTGGAACAAGATACATAACTAAATCTAAAAGATAAGTCTATTCAATCTATATCGTACTTGAAAATGATAAATCAAATACAGTTAATGTGCATGCTATTGTTCATTCTTTGAATAAAAGGCCAAGATTTATTACTTAAAAGGGATGCACAGAAACAAATACACTAAACTCAGTATACCTCTGAAAGCAGGAGTCTTTTAGAAAATCAAAGTTGCTACTACTTAAAAAAGTTCTTAATAAACGGCTCTCTGTAACAGGTGAGAAACCTGTTCCAGTACATGAAAACAAGCATACGAGTGCTTCTTTATTTTTAGCCTTTTTCCAACTCACTTTACTTTAAAGCTACTTGTTCAGCTTACTTAGTTTCTGAATTATAACTTGATGAAAAGAGAGAAATGATAACACTCCTTAGAGAGGTTTTGTTGTTGTTGCCATCTAGCATAATGTAATTTATACGCTACACCAGGAGCTTTGGAGCACTGCAATACAATATTCCTTGATCTCCTGGGGATACATGGCATGGGTAGGGAGAAAAATAAATAGAAACCTTATGGTATTCTTTAAATCGCCAAGGTTTCACATTTCATCTATAATACATTCCAAGGAAGTGGGGAGAATCTCAACCTTGAATGTTGTTGAATAATTCCTTGCTGAATTGTACTGTAATGAAAAGTCAGCATTCCTGTGGTGCTAACGAGCAGTAGCTTTATTTCATGTGTATTAAGCCTCCCTCAGTTAATCCAAGATGTTAATGTAGGTAAGAACCTTGTCAAGATGGAAATGTGGGGGGAAAAGTGATAGTCATTCAAAACAAATTTTAGCCCTATTTCAAATTATTGCTTTATTATATAGAAGAAAAGGGACTTATTAAATACAAATTTTAGAAAAACTTAAGTACAGGACAAAAATTAATTCAGTTATCCTAAATATTTTAGTCTATAATCTTAATCACTGGACAAAAGTGATTTAAAACAAAATACAGTTTGCCTCTTTGAAAATTTTAAATACAAATATGTCTAAATAAAAGGTCATTCTAGAAAGAATGCAGGAAAAAATAAAAATAAAAAAATAAAAAATAAAAAGAATGCAGGCACCTACCTAAAGCATATGCATGAAATAACTAGTCAAATGCAAATCAGTCAGGTCATTTTATAACAAATACTTTAAAAAATAGTCCACATTCAAACAAACTGTCCATTATTTAATAACTGTGTTATTTAACTTCTAAGCCTATGTAAACATAAGGCTCTGAAGAAAAATCAGCTGCTGTCAGTATAAATGAGATGGTGTACAAGCTTCTTTCAAAGAAAATCAGGATTACAATACTCTCATAAATAAGATAAAACACAAAGCACTAACATTTCATCTCTGATCAGTGATTTTTTTTTTAAAGATCACTATAAAGCAAAAGGAAAGCACATGTTCGGGTTAGGTGTTACAACGATTTAAAAGCTAGATACACAAAATGTTTTATTTGTTAACTCCTTTTTCCAAAAATATATTTTTAAGTAATGGCAGTAACACAGAATAATAAAAATTGAGAGATGGACAAAATTACCGGCTCTAACACAGGACATCAAGAGTCAGTAAGTGAGACAGCAAGTGTATTTGGCTCACATACCTAAAACTATTACATATGGGAGAGAGGACTTTCTTATCAATCAGTTTTAGATGTCTGCCTCCTAGACCCAAACAAGGTTGGTGGCAGAAAAACATCTCAAGCTGGTCATTATTTAGGGCAGAGCGAGAGCCTTTAAAGAAAAAGAACAAAACTGTCTGGTGACAGCTTGTCAAGACTATACCCTGGGAACTTCCTCCACTGTCAATTTACAATCTGTGTCTGAACCAAGAGGCCTGATGTTGTCCAGATCTTGGGATTTTCTGTCAAAGGCTTTTTAAAGAGGCACATGTAAGATACAGAGAACGTATATCGGCAGATAACAGTATTACCAAGGCTGTCAAGATGATCTGTTTGGTGTTTTTCTCCATTCTGCTATTATGCTTGTTTGCATTAAATCAACTTAGAAGAAAATAAACAGCTTTTCAAATTTCCTTCGCTGTCAGAAGCTTGACAAGCGAGTCTCCTCCCGCACCCCCCACCACTGTGATTCACCTACCTGTAGCATGCCTTGACCATTTCCTTCTATGGTACCTTCATAAGTGACATGCAATCGAGTCAGGAGTTTTTCACATCTATGGTTTAAAAAGATATTCCCTCATTAATTTTTTTAATGGTAAGTATTTCACTATAGAAAAGTCTGACAATACAGATTAACTAGGAAAGAAAACTGAAACTATTCCAAATCTCAAAAGGCAGAAATAGATGCTTACTCTTCACATTCTGGGACAGTCTCCCCCAATTTTTCTTTCTCAAATGTATAAATATACATATCTAAATTAAAATGCGATCATATACTGTTTTGAAAACTGGTTTATCCCTACAAAATACCAGTTTCTCCCCTTTTATATTTTTAAAAATATTTTTATACAATTTTTAAAGGTTACTTTCTATTTACAGTTATTACAAAATATTGACTATATTCCCCATGTTGTAACATCCTTGAGCCTATCTAACGTCCAACAGTTTGTATCTTCAACTCCCCACCCTAACCCTGCCATCACTGGTAACCACTAGTTTATTCTCTGTATCTGTGAGTCAGCTTCTTTTTGTTATATCCAGGAGTTTATTGTATTTTTTAGATTTCACATATAGATTTCACACATTTCTCGTCTGACTTATTTCACTTATTAGCATAATGCCCTCCGAGTCCATCCATGCTGCTTCAAATGGCAAAATTTTGTTCTTTTTTCATGACTGAGTAGTGTTCCACTGCGGGGGTGTGTGTGTGTGTGTGTGTGACTTCTTCTTTATCCATTCATTTCTTGATGGGACACTTAGGTTGTTTCCATATCTTGGCAACTGTAAATATACTATGAACATTAGGGTGCATGTATCTTTTCAAATAAGCTTTTGGCTTCTTTTGTATATATACCCAGGAGTGGAATTACTGGGCCATATAGTAGTTCTATTTTTAGTTTTTTGAGAAATGACCATACTGTTTTCCATAGTGGCTATACCAGTTTAAGTGTCTCCTCTTTAAAAGTTGAAAAATTTCTCAAAGTGTTTTTAAAAATTAAGATCTAAGAAATGTTATTATTATGCTAGAGCTGGCAACCTAAGGAAAAATATAGAAAAAAACTGACCAAAAAAATTATATACAATGCTCAGAGTCGCTCTATTTTCACCAGTTTGGAAACTGTGTGTATATGTGTAGGGGGGGTGTCTTAATGACATGCTACAGAACTCCTACAGATATCCTGATTTATGGTATTTTTATATAAATGAAACTGATAGGTGAGTGTAGTACCTGTAAGTCACAATTATTTTCTTTCCTTTTCATAAACCATGGTCACTAAGGTGTATATGGGGTTCAGATAAACTACCCCCAAATTTGGCACCCTGGCATATTGAATATTTTAAGCTGAAGAAGTTTGAGAAAATGGCAGAAGCAGAAAGGTCACTCTGACTTCCTCCCCTTCTCATCCTTCTTGCCTGAAACAAGCCATAAAACTCACATGAGGGACACTACCTATGCCTGGAAGAAAGAAGCATTCTTATCTCTGAAGACAAAGAAATGCCAAGAAGAATTCTAATGATCAGAACTTGCTGTTTCCTGCAGTCTACTATAATCACCCCATGTTCTTTTACACATCATATTCCTGCATGACTGTCTATTCTTCACCAAACCTAGCATAAAAGTACATAGATCTGTTTCTTTGGGTCTTCATTTCCTCATAAAGGTTCTTGTGTCACATAGAACTAATACTAAAAATTCCTTTTTATTAATAGCAGTTGATGATGACATTTTTTTCTTAATTTTTTTCTCCTGATTATTAACTGAATAAAGATAAATAAACCATAATAGAATGCAACAATGTAACAGATATAAACCCCTAACTTACATAGTATGGCATAAACTTGTTGGAGGGGACTTGCATATTTTTAGAACAATTACATTAAAAACCAACAACAACAACAACAAAACAATAAAACAATTCGGCTAGGAAGCTCTATTTATTTATTGGGATTTACTTTCATCCTGGTATCAATGAGTCCAAATATATTTCTAGTAAGGCTCCAATCCAGGTTATTTAGTGTAGTTCTAAAAGCTTCATTTGTACTCATTTAATCTTCACAACATCCCTATTACTATCTCCCTTTTACAGAGGAGGAAACAAAGTACAATAAGCATTTAAGTAACTTAATACTAGTAAATCAAGCAACAAAGATCTGAATCCAGAAAGCCTAAGGTAAACTATACTTTTAGAAAAATTACTTACCAAATCTCTTGGAGAAAGTTAGTACCTTAAGTTTCATTCTTTTTAGTTTCCTTTGGGGGAGAGGGGGAATCCTACTTTCCTAGCTATTTTATTCCAAGGGAGATCATCTGTGAGGATACTATGGAAAAGATAAAGCGCATGATCCAGAAATCTCATCTGTTGTCAACTATTCTCTGTGACTGTAGTTGTCACTTCTCAAAATTACAAAGTTGCTAGAAACTAGTTTTTTTTTTTAATAAGCATCCTTCAACTTCCTAATAGGTTTCCCCTTCTGGCCCCAGCAAATTCTTCGCACCACTGCCCCAGGAATTAAATATTATTCTGGTTCTCTGTGATTACTAAGATATTTACTGATAATCACAGGGTTAACTATAATGCCAGAAATTTGGAACTCAGAAAAGTCTTCAGCTTCCTGGCACTCATTTAGCCCTGTACTCTTGGGAAAACTATCAGTCCTCATCTCTTCTTCATCCTCTCTCTTCAAGTGAATGTGTGTTTCTAGTTCTGTGGAATCTTGGAGATGGATTTTAATTACATTCTCCAACTAATTTATGAAACAAAAAAAACAAGAGATCAACGGAATGAAAAAAAAAAGTTTGAAAAGTATCAAGTTAAATTCTGCTTATCTAGGGCAAGGGGAATATCTTGATCTTACTTAAGGGGCAGAATTATCTTATGGACACAGCAACTTCACCAATCTGTATTTTGACCTACCCCTTCTCTCCCAGATGGTATACAAATAGGCGCCCTTTCACATTAGTGGCCAAACAAATGCCAGATGCAGAGGAGAGATTCTGAGCTAAATTAAAAACAATTCCTCTGAAAGATCTATAAAATCTACACCAAAGCAACATGAATAAAACATGTATTCCTATTAGAGACTAATAAAAGAGCTAAGAACACAGCAGATTGTTACTTTTAGTTCTAGGCACCATATTTTAAGAAGGACTAATTGCTTAGGGTATGTTAAGAGCAGAGTGTGAAGGGTTTACAATCCATATTACATGTGAAACGAGTAGTTTAACATGTACTTATGTGCACTGTTAGAGGTGGGGGGTGGATCAAGAAAACATTAAGATACATGAAGGAGGGTCAAATGTTAGAGAAAATTAGATTTATTGTAGCTCCAGAAAGAAGAACCAGGAACGGGATTTGGCATGGTAGGGAGATTTCTGGAAGACAGACTTCTTCAATGAATTAAAGTATCAGATAATAACACAAGCAGCCCACAATGGGAAGAGTGCAGTCCAACAGTGGATTTCCCATCACCAGGGTTGTCTAGTCTCCGCCTGTCATAGGTATTAAGAGTTGACTGTTTTTAGTAGGCTGGATCAGCTGAACCCTTTCTGGGTCCCTTTCATCTCTAATATGCTATGATTCCAAAATGCTGTTCATGGCTCTTCCTTTCTGACTCAATTTTGTTCTTGTTTTTGTCTTTCTTTTGGTTGCTTAATCTTTTATCCACTTCCCTCTGCTATAATAATATCATCTCATCCATGCAGTCAGCCTCCTAAAGTAATTTTGTTTTTCTTTAACCTCACAAATAAACATCTTTGATGGATGAAAACACAGGAAAGTCATCTAAGCATATACCTTCTCAACTTAATTCCTTGAACAATAACTAATTCCCTTTCATCGTTAATTCCAAACAAAACAATCACAAACTACGATAAAGATCATTAGAAAGTGAAAATGAAAAAAAAAAAAAAAAGAAAGTGAAAATGAAGAGGCACTGGTTAACATGAATGCACATCCAAAATATGCCATTAGTACATCAGATCATGTCCTCACATGCACTGAAAGAAGTAGAGCCATTCTGCTTTATGTACTCTGGGGATTTGTTCCAGGTTAGAACTATTTCAGGGCACTAAGGAACTTACAAATCTGAACAAACTCACATTGGTTACTATTATCCTTAGCATATGTAGGTTAATAATAAGGAAAAAATCCTAGGAAATTAGAAACTTCCACAAAATTGCCAAATCTCTGATGGTAAATTCTTTGGATGGTAAAGGATCTGCCTGTAATGCAGGAGACTCGGGTTCATTCCCTGGGTCAGGAAGATCCCCTGGAGAAGGGAATAGCTACCCACTCCAGTATTCTTGCCTAGAGAATTCCATGGACAGAGGAGCCTGGTGGGCTACAGTCCATGGGGCTGCAAAGAGTCGGACATGACTGAGCAACTAACACACAAACACACGTGGACAGCCAAACTCCAAAATTCTTTGTCACTCAGACAAATTCTAAATAATTACAATTTACACTTTAATTTTAAAAATGCACTAATCTTGTCCTCCAGAAAGAAAAGCCATAAAATACAAACACTAACCATATAACCGAGGGTAAGGAGAAATATTAAATACTGGTGTTTAATATTAGTGTCTTCTCACAGAAAACTCCTAAATTCTAAATAGGACTTTGTTTCAGAAGACAAAACTAAGGCAAAAGAGTAGACATGAAAAGGCTGCAGACTGATTCAAAAGGCATGACCTTTTTAACAATGAGAACTATCAATCAAACATTTTAGGAAGAAACTCCCTGGTCCTAGGGCAATCAAGAGGCTGGAAGACTCTCTTTTCAGGGGCTATAAAATTGAATCCTCTCATGGTGAAAGAGTCCTAATTCTAAGATTACAGAGATTTACATTATTATTACCTTTCCCACTCTGGAAAATCTTCAAGACTCTGTCTTGTAAATGTCACCAACCCAGCGGGTTCTACAAAAGCAATAAAAGAGAAACACATCCAAAATAAGTTTTGAGTTTGAAAAGATTATATATTTAGTAAAAGAATGGGTCTAACAAAGGTTATAAAACTAGTCAGGAAATACTAAGCCTAGTGTTGGAATACAATAGAAGGTTGATTTAAAATAATATTCTTACAGTAGGAATTCTTTCTACAAAACAGTAAGCCCTCCCTAAGACTCCCCTGGTGGCTCAGACGGTAAAGCGTCTGCCTACAATGCGGGAGACCCGGGTTTGATCCCTAACATCCCCTGGAGAAGGAAATAGCAACCCACTCCAGTACTCTTGCCTGGAAAATCCCATGGACTGAGGGGCCTGGTAGGCTGTCCTACCATGGTAGGCAAAGAGTCCGACACGACTGAGCAACTTCACGTACTCACTTCACTCAAGGCACAAAACTACACAGATAACAGCACAACAGTAGGATGTGAGTGCTGGTACTTTTTGGTTAAGTTTGCCAAACTGAATATACTTAAAAAAACCCAAAAAACCCTGTGGGGAGCGGGGGGTCGGGGGCAGACGCATACTGGATATAGTTTATACAACAAAGACAAACTGAATTTTAATCTGTAGCATCCTTTTAAAAAAAAAGTCTTAACCCTAAACCTATTTACTGGTGAATGCCAATACATTTATGTGTTTTATAATAAATATGTCTAAGATTAAAAAAAATTGTTGGCGTGTACTTTGAGGTGACACAGCTAAATTCAGGGCTTAGATGATATGCAGTTGCTCTATTTATAAGGCATCTTAGCCAGAAGGAAGAATTACTGTATTCTAAGAGGTTACAGAAGAATGATGACATAGTTTTCAAGGAGCAATAGATATGAGAAGATCAAAATGCAGTAAATTCTAGAGGATAAGATCCTTTTTTGTTAGGTTTACTTTTTTTTTTAACTAGTGGCAAAAGCAACAAATAAATCAGCTGGCCAGAAGTAATTTGTTTGATTCAAATCAAAGAACAAACTAAGAAGGCCTGGCCATTTCTGTTTAAAAAAAGAATGCTCTTAAGCAGAGAGAGATATGTCAGGAACTATTAGCGATAATGGTGGTGGAGTCCCAGTGAAAGGCAGGCAATCATTTCATTCCTTTGGATGAGTCCACATTTCTTTGCTCTCAGTCACAATCAGCAACAACTCAAAAATCATATGGGGTAGTTACAGTAGAAAACAGAATTTGGTTAACATGATTTACAAAATATTCTTTAGCTGTCTAACTTTCTTTAAGACAAATGGCTAGCATGTTTAAAATTCATAAGTCAAATAATTCAAATACTAGAGAAGCGATTCTATTAATAGGAGACTAAAGTCTATATCATCATTCAGTAATTTAGCAGAAAAATAAGAACATTAAATGGCCCTCATATATACTAGGAGAGACTAAGAAAATTTTTTAAAAATGAACATTTCTGGCAAAGCAAGAGAAAAGGCAGAAGAGTATGACTCTTTGCTGCTGCTGCTAAGTCACTTCAGTCGTGTCCGACTCCGTGCGACCCCACAGACGTCAGCCCACCAGGCTCCCCCATCCCTTGGATTCTCCAGGCAAGAACACTGGAGCTGGTTGCCATTTCCTTCTCCAGTGCGTGAAAGTGAAAAGTGAAGAGTACTGGAGACATGACTCTTTAGATATATATGAATAACCCCCCGAAAAAACCCCTTGAGAACATGCCTATTACCTTTCTTTCATAAAAAGGCATCTTTTATACAGCAATAGGTCATTTTGGTTAATCAGATATTTCTCTTAATAAACTCACAGTATATACTACATTTGAGTCATCACTTTTTATAAATACTCCATTTATAAGATAGTTTTATCTAAAACTATATTGAAAATAATTCAGAAAGCTGTTTAAAATTATTCAGTCTCAAGAGCCTCACTATAATTATATAGACTGACAACCCTGAAAAGTTGGTCTTGATGGAATTGTATTTTATCAATTCTAAAAAGCATATTTTCATATATTAAGTTTCTGAAACTATGAATATACCTGATATAGTCAAAGGTATCTAGCCATTGCTTCTGGTCTGTATCAAAGCTGAACTTTTCCAAAGAAGATGAACATCTGCTTCTGCCATCTTCTGGGAACACCACCAATTTGAGATTAGTCTGAATTAAACCTTCTGTTGTCAGCTTCTATGGATCACCCTGGTAATAAGACTTTAGGTCCTAGACTTGAAGCTCATGGTTCATATTCTCAGCGAAGATTTTTTGGTGCCCTCTCTACCTAGGCTGACATCTGCAGTTTCTTTGTTGTCACCTTTCTGCATGGCAAAGTTAATTTCTCACCTATTCTTAGGCTAACGGTACAGATCTCTGGTGTCCCAGCTTTGTAAGAGATCAACTACAAATTCCTCATCCTGAGTATTTTTTCATTCTTAGTGGTATAGAATATAATGAAACTTCTTGTCATAGATCATGTCCTAGAATTGATGAAATATGGTACTTTAAATAGGTTTCTATAATTTCTATGCAGTAGAACTCCAGAATTTTATATATAAAGTAATTATTAAATTGCAAACCTCTCTTTTATTCTACCTAGTATTTCCTTCTTAAGTCTGTAGCTTTATATCCTAAAAACCTATAGCATATCATACTATATTTCTACAAAGAACCAAATTACCATGTACAGTGAAAAAGTCAGAAAATAAAATGTCTAATTATCATTTATTTTTTCAGTCATATTCCCAATACTTATGATGATTTATAAAGTTCTAGCTGAAAAAATAAAATTTTAGCTTTTTCCCTCCAAACACTTAAAATCCTAAAACTTGGAAAGGCAAGTTGGCTTTTAGAGCAGACATGCATGATTTGACTTCAGGGACAGAAAAATAAACTTCAAATTATTAAGATATAGTAATGGTATTCATTCTGTTTAGATTTAGGATAGCAAAAAATATACTTATTTTTCTAACAAATTAGTATAAATTTTAACTCAATTTTATGTCTCATAAGCCCTAGTGAACCTTCACTTTCTTTCCTTACTATTTCATTCAGTACAGGGCACAAAACTAAAAATGATAAGCTAAGAAATAAATAGCCCACTATCAAAAGAAGCCTATGAATTTGTCCCTGAAATATCAAAATCCTGATCATCGATTTCTTTTCCTCAAATCTGAACCATGCCCAACAGCAATATGTTCAAAAGGAAAAAAAATCCTAGGTACACTATGATGTGAGATAACTTACTAAGGGAAGGATATGAGAAAAATGACCTTAAAATAATTCAGTAATATTATTATTATTATATTATTCAGTGACATTAATAGTTCAGTGTGTGATACTTTAAGACAATCACACAACTGGGAAGACCAGAACTAAAAAGAACTCATTTCACTGGAACAGAGTTAACCTGCTCTACTTAACAAAAGCAAACTTATAATTATTTGCAGGAAAGGCTACCCATGACAATAGCTGACATTTATTAAGCATGTAACTTTTCATTAATACTTAACTACCCTATCAAGTAAATTATCATTATTCTTTTATTTTACAGATGAGGAAACAGCCATTTAGAGATGTTAAAAAAAAAACTTGTCTGCAGTCACCCTAGCTCCTAGGATAAGAGTGGCAACATCAATCTATTATTAGCTGGTCACTACCAGTGTTGGCTAGATATTTACCACTGCTGTCTCAAGTGCTATGATTAGCCTCTGGGAAAACACGATGGTCAAGGTCCAACAGAGGAAGACAAGATATGTGAACTCTAAGTACAAACACTATTTTACAAGAACCTGATAAGGGCATAAAGGAGGCACAAAAGAGAGGGATGGTAGGAAGGCAGTGAATTGGTTAGCCTCTGCAAATAAACTAATTATACCAGTCAATGTTTCTTTAAATAAAGAATACCCAAAATACATCTCCCAGTCAATATACTTTCTTTTGAAAGTACTGATTTACTGTTTTTATTCATGAACATTCATTATTTTATGTTATGCTGATCTAATTTCCAAGTACATAAAACCCACACGTTTACAGTACACATTTACGTATACACACAACATATGCATAAAATTTAGGTTATAATATTACATTACTAGTTTTAATGTGGTTTGGGTAGGAAAGTGTACTTTGAACACAATGCTTTTGACCTGTCTGAACTGTCCCCATCAGTGATAAAAATTACAAGTAAGAATGAAAGGAATGTACTTTTCTCTGTGACTCTTCTAAAGTAGCAGAAGAGCGTTTTAAGCTTCTCTGGTTTCCTTGATGAACGTCCCTCAAACAACCTGAAAGAGACCAGAAATAAAAGAGGGTAAAGATGATTTTAAATGCCTTAATGATTCACAAAAAACTAAAATCTATATTGCTACCAAAACAAAAGAAGTAATTTATTCCAGAAGACAATTCTGGAACAACAGAAAACTGGGAAATTGTCTGGATTCAAACAGCACCTGGAGAGGACTGAAAGCAACGAGAACCGGGTTTTCTCAAAGTGTTCACATCAGATGGCACTCTAATAACCACGCTCCTCCAGTCTGTCTTCCTGTGGGGAGAAGGCACCATCTGGTCCCCTAAAGACAATCAGGCCAGTGAGCTAATGCTCATTTCCCCCATGGCAAATATTATTGGCCATAATATTACTAGGTCATTAAATGACTGAACAAAATGGTATCAGGAAAAAAATTCGTTAAGATTGCTTGACGGTGGGGGGCAGCTATGACAACAACAAGCAGGTATGACAAGATACTGGCGGACTGACCAATCCTTGGTAATTAAACAAATACACTCTTTGTATGGTAACCGAAACACTGGCTACACTATGTCATCTGGTTTCCAGCAACCTGGACTTGCACAAGTTAATTTAGTTTTCCTTGAAATGATGTGGCACTGTTATTGGTAACACATAATGCAATTTATCCTGAGGAAAGAAAAGCAAGGCTTTGGAAGTATATGACCTGAGTAAGTAGTTCACCAAAAGATTTCCAACACAAAAGCATGCTTTCAGGCACAATAGCTAGCTTCACAAAGGTATTTAAAAATCATAAAGAAATTCTGTGGCTATAAATGATGAAGTATTAGTCATCTGCCTCTAGTCACATACTCTTGCTTTAAAACCAGAAACCCTTCAAGTAAAAGTTCACTTTAATAAGTGCCGAAATGGTAAAATTTTCCATGATTAGAAAAACAAGCTTATGTAACTATGCAGAGAGGGAAAAGTTAATTCTATGAGAAAATCCTATTGAGCAAATGAAATGAATTAGGAAAAGGGAAGGAAATGCAGATGTCAAATAATCCTGTTTTCAACGATCTGAAATTCTTTATTCAGGGTCAATTTCTGAGAAAACAATTTATATAAACCCTTATTTCCTGAAAAGAATGCTAAATATCAGAGAGCATTTTAACTAAATCTGAAATCTAATTACTTTAAAAATAGTTTGAGTGTCTATGTGATAATTTTTACTCTTCTAAAAGAATGTATTTTCTAAAATATTTATTAAAAATACTCAAAATCTAACTGCCTGATGGAAGAATCTATGAAAACACAGGTTTCAGTTCGGTTTCTTCTGCAATATGTCAGCCAGAATAGAGTCTGTTTAAATCAAAATGATATTCAAAATGAAGGAGCCACTTGGCAGTTTAATTAAACATCCTGTATCAAATAAATATGATTTACTAAATGAATACCTTGGGATCCATTGCAAAATCCCTTTCCAAGGTTAGTAGAGGGAAGCAGGATAAATGTCAGTATAAAGGTAGCTTTCATTTTTTTTTTTTTTAAGAGATGAATTGATGTAGTACACAATTCAATTAAAAGGAAAAAGCTCCTCTTCCACAGAACTGTTGCATAGTGAGTGAAAATGACTACTGCCCTTAAGAAATAACTCCCACCCATAAAATGCATCCTGAGCTTCAGTATGTGGTCAGTTGTTTATAAAATTACATAAAAGTTCACATATTTCAAAACCATGATGACAAATTATTAACTTTAAGAGACTCTTGGGACTACAGAATTATTACCCTAGCAATATGGACTTTCCTGGAAGGATTATATGGCTGTTATTATCACCCACTACAAATGAGCACTACTGTTTATTTTTCAGGTCCAAATCTTATAGGTACAAATCAAACAGAATCTCAAAACATTCTTTTCCTTTATTGCTCTAATTTCAAATCACTGTGTAACCAAATAAGCTTTCCCATCTTTCTGATGGGGAAGTGTGTGGGGGTTGAGGTCTGGGACACAACGAGAAGGTAGAACAACAGGAAAGATGAGGCAGGTTTAAAATTTCTGCATCAATTCTCAGATTTTGACTTGTAGATTTGTGCATAGCCACCTAAATAAATGAGGAAGCAAGTGTAAATAACATAAAAACACAGGCACTCTACAGGACTGAAAGCTACCAAAGCAATGTACTATCTGAAGGACAGCACTTATAGGGGGAGGAAGAGACAAAAGTACTGAGGAAAGAGCCCAAGAAAGGAAGAGACAGAAAGATGGGGCTAGCAAGAGAGAAGAGAAAGAGCAGAAACTGGGCTGGAGACAGAGGGAGGGTATGAGAAACAGAAACTCACAGAAAAACACACTCAGAGAGACAAATACAGAAAGCGACAGAGATTCAGAGAGACTGAGATCTTCTTGCAATAATCAAGCACCATCCAAATTTTTTTAATTCTTCAATACCATTTTTTTTTTTTTTTTAGATTTTCAAATCCAAGGCGTGTTTGGTTTTTTGGCTCTGCCACACGGCATGTAGGATCTCAGTTTCAGACCATGGCTTGAACCCGCATCCCCTGCACCTGCAGCAGAAGCAGAGTTTTAACCACTGGACTGCCAGAGAAGTCCATGGATATATATATATTTAAAGTCATACTTTGAGTCAGCAGGCATCCATGTGAAAATGCACATAAACTAGGCCATACTATCCCCTCCTCATGTAGGGAAGACATTTTAGCATTTAACCGAATAGTAATTACAGATTATTAAAGGAAACAAACAGAAAAGGCCACTTAGGCCTTTTGTTCTAAACAAAACTTCTTATTTTCAGTAAGTCAATCAAGGGTCAGCTACGTATTAACTGTTTTTCTTCCCATACATATAAAGAAAAACATAGTTTAATAAAATCTTTCCCTGAATGGAATACTGATAACATTACTGGAATTGGATTCTAGACACACACACACACACACACACACACACACACACACACTCCCATGTGATTTCAAGTTAAGGATTAATCCTATTAGTATACAATAAATCAAACCCAAAGCACTATAACCTCCATTTTAAAGTGGAAGCAAATGATAATCCGGAACCCAGCCAGAAAGTCATTCTTGGCACTGCTGTGAAGCAGTGTGCCATATGGCCCCGGCAGCATTTTCAATCCAGGGAAGAGACAGATGTAAAAGCCTCCTGGGCTGACCACTGTTGCAACCTACAATTAATCTCTGACCATCAGTTTCTAAGCAATTTCAGAAGCATCAATGCTAATCACATTGGAAGCCTTTATAAGAATGTTTAGGCCCTGAAAGGCAAGCAGGGGAAAAGGTCAGGGGTGTTTAACATAACTAAACAGGGCTGGAAAAACACAACAATAAATAAAAAAAGGGAAGACTTATTCAATTTATTGACGTCAGCCTTCTATCACATACTCTTACCATTTTTCTTATTCAATTAACTAGTCCTAGCCTTTTAAGACAAAATACACTCACACACATACACAACTCCCAACTGGCAGAAACTATAATCATAAATAGCAACTATGCAAAAAAGAAACATGCCAACAACAAAATGCTCCATAATCTGCTTACCAAATGGCTCATCAAATTAGGTACTTGATTGTTCATAAGCCACAAGGAAAAGGGGGAACTACTGGTTGTTTTTCATTTATGGAGCACACTCAGAGCATCTGCTCTTGGGAAGAAGTGAGACATAATGAAACAGCACTAAGTTTGAACAGAAGACAGTGTTCAAGTCCCAGTTCTGCTACTTAAACTCTTATCTGATAAAAATGCAACTGGGATGCTGTAAGCTTATTTCCCTCATGGTCATTTCAGATTGGAAATAATTCTTACAGATCAAGGATTATTTCTAAGAATAGTTCTAATTTCTGACTAGCTATAAGGTAAAAAATGCCAACCATACCCTGAGTTTTGAACTTCAATTATACCAGTTAACTTGGTGAAGTAAACTACCCTCTCTAAGCCTCCAACTCCTCATCTGAAAAATAAGAAAACAATATTGAATTTATAGGGACTGATATGAAGATTAAAAAATAACAGTACAGTCACTGGTACATGGCAGGCACTTAATAAATACTAGCTATTAGATATTTTTATGCAAAAACTTCAGATAATGCTGAGTAAGTAGAGGATAGTACCCAGCTTAAAAAAAAAAATCAACACTTATTTACATAAAACACTCACACTGTTCTAATCCATATTCTCTTCATTAAGAAAAATGGCTCTTTTCCCATCAAGCCTAACATGCTGACACTCAGAGCCAACCAGTTCAGTCTTCGGGATACATGACCATGCACAGTGAGGAGAGATATCAGGATGTTGCCAAGACGAGCATTCTCCTGTCAAAAGTTTAGATGACACACAAAGATGCTTTAAAAATAAAACATATTAAAATTAATATAAATTCTGGTTATGGCAGCAGGAAATGAGAAGTCACAGAAGTCAAGGCTTCCCAAACCCTCTTGACTTCTGCCTGTCAGTCATCCCAAACCTGCGTCCACTTCACTGCTGAGGCAAGAAGGCTGTCAGGGCAGCAGCCGTCAGAGGGCCCTGTGTACTTGTGCTTCTCCTGCATGCCGAACGGTCAGCGAGAGTGAAGGGGAGGTAGTGACACTGCGCTTACAGGGCTGTAACTAGGAAGGAAGAAGCCACCCACACTAGCTATTTTGGAAAGGCTCAAAATCTCTGTGGGATTCTACTCTCAAAATCAAATTACAAAAACTGTCTACTTTTTTCTTAACATTTCTGATAATTGACTTGTTCTTCCTACTTAACTGATTTTTCTTCTGATTAAAAAAGTAATATATGATCATTATAAAAGCAATCTGAAGACATATAGATGTGTATGAAATGTGTTTATCTCACCACCCAATGGTAATCATTTTCTTGTCAGTCCATTTTCTATGCACATACATTTATTATGTATAGGGATAAACACAAAGTATATTAATAGATACAGATATTTTAACATAATTGAGATCACATTTTATATACAATTTTTTATTTCTTTTAAAAACCTACAATTACTGATTCTAACCACACATAA